TTGGAGCCTTCTTATGTGTTAAGAGCGTTAGGTGTTGATGAGGACATGGCTCACACTTCGATTAGGTTTGGGATTGGTAGGTTTACCACGGAGGAAGAGATCGATAGAGCGGTCGAGCTTACGGTTAAACAAGTTGAGAAGTTGAGGGAAATGAGCCCGCTTTATGAAATGGTTAAAGAAGGTATCAATATCAAGAACATACAATGGTCTCAACACTGATTCAACGGTTCCACTCAAACCGTGCGGTACGAGAGGAGAAACTCGGGTCTGTGCACGGCCGTGTATGAGCCATGCTGCGATGCGAGTATGACCGATGATTCGGTCCCGAGTTCTTACTATATGTTATGCTTGGTAATTTTATCTATATTGCTTTCTAGAGAGTTTTCATGTGTGGTTTTGTAATAAGCAGAGCACGAACCAAACTTCATTTCTTGTTTGGATTGTGATCGTTTGGATAATTAATTTCTAGGGTGTTATAAAGCTTAATAATAGCTATTTAGCTTATTACCACACCAAAGTAATACAAAAGTTTTATTTTTTTTCCTTTTTTCCTTCTTTTTCAAAATTACTATGAGTATTTTCTCCATTTTTATCAGTTTTTTTTTTGCCATGTTGATGATTTATTTTCGAACTAATAAATGTCGGCGACAGACTTGGATTTTGAATTTTTTGAAGTAACAAAACCATGAAATTAGAATCGATATTAAGAGGACAGCAAATATGTATTAATTATCGCTATTGTATGGACCTATGGTATTAATGTTCTTCCCTTGATGTAGAGTCGAAGTAGAGCTTAATAACGTGTGATTTGGTATCAAACATTTTTTTGTTTAGAACTATGCACGCTCAGAGGTTGATACCACTTTTTGTAACGCCCCCGATCATTTATAGACCGGAAACGCTACTGACGAATACTTAAGTGTCCGCTCAGAGGTTCCTGGAACATATCCAAATTCCCTAAACAAGATTTCTAAGCGTTCGTCCCCATTAGGTACATCTCAAGGCTTGCCAACCCGAGACATACGTAACGGTTAGTTCGTCCGGACAAGGGCTAGTATCACATGAAACCCGAATTTATGCAAACTCGATTTGTTTTTAAATATAATTTATACATAAATTTTAAATGNGATACAAGCATATACAAGTGTGAGTCTAATACTCCAAAACGATCATGTACATAATAAACATTACTCATTTACAAAAGGCAAGAAAATCTACTGCTGAATTTCCTAATGTTCCTTTGGCCCTCGGTGGTCTACCCGCTAATGGTTACCTGCAACACAAGTAGAGTCGTGAGCACTAGTTGCTCAGTGAGCCTAGGCTTCCCTAACATGCAGTAATCAATTCCCAACCAAACCCAAAATAACAAACAACACGCAAGCAGGCAGATTTAACAAAAGAAATGCAATAAGTTATGCAATGTCAATATAAGGCCTTCGCGTAGACTATATCCCTCCACGTCAAATCACAAGGTATCCATCAGCCCGAAGCCACAAAGGCTAAAGACTTCAGATCCTTCACCGTTCCAACGGCCTTATTTATATAAGGATCCGCACCGGAAATTCTGCATCGTCATGCAGTACACGGCCAAAGGCTGCAATCCCGTCTCTCCGTGTCTTCATGTACTTAGACTAATACTCAACGTACTAGCTAAGTCATGGCTTTCAAGGGAACGTCTTACCGCGATCATCATAATTTATAGGTTTTACTAACAATTAAGTTATAAGAAAACTTATAACTTTGCATCAAAAATTCGACTTAGTACTTTTCACATGCTAAAAATTTTAAGTACTTAGCAAAAATATAATCACGTAGCAATGAACCTCACTCGTAATTTAATTAAACATACAACAAGCATCACCGAAACTCACCTTTGACTTAACGAACGATCGCGGTTCTGTCAAAGGTTTCTACGGGCGTTTGCCTTAGACTTTTCCGAAAGATTTTGCCTTAGCCTTTGAATTGGAATCTGTTCCAAAGGTTCACGAATAAACCAAGGCAAGACTTAGAATTTTCTTAAGAGAAATTTAAAGATAAAGCCCACGGATCATACCTACTCGGAACTGAGCTTACCGTGGACTATCTAGATCTTTTGGAGCTTAACCGAAGTTGAACCCTAAGTTTTCATAAACCGGCTCGACAAGGCTCGCGGCGCAACAACACTATGGTTCACGGTGGACTAGACGATGGACTACTTGGTTCGGTTGGACTGATCGATTCGGGTTGATCGTAACAACTATCGTGGGCTGAGTTAAAACTTTGCGGCTAGTTGATCCGGGGGGTAAAGGGAACGGCTATTTATAGGCGGGGGTAAGCAGGCGAAGCAGCTGGACGCCCCGCGGCCACCTGCCAAGGCCGTTCCAGCGAGCCTTGCCCGTGCCGCGACACGCGTCC